CAATAACTGCAGGCAAATGAAGAATTCCAAAATGGCCGCTATTTATAGCTCGACCATTACACAGTGCTGGCTGGCTGGCTGCTGATAGGCTGATGCGATCACATGTAGTTGAGGAATGCATTATGGGTCAGCGCGCCTTGTCTGCGCGCCTTCCCAGACATCCCCGCTCCGTCGCCGCACATGTCAGCCGCCATTTTCTGAAAAATTTTGATTCGCGCGTCCGAATTAGGCTATTTTTCGGATTCGGCACGAATCGAAATTTTTTCCGATATTCGACTCGAATTCCACTTCGGATACTTCGATTCGCTCATCTCTAGTGATAATACTATACATTGTCACTGTATTAATGACACTGGCTGGGAAGGGGTTAAGATCTAGGGCAATCAATGGGCTAACATGAGCCTAACAATATGTAATGTGTGTACAGAGTGCTGCTTTTACTAACTGATCTCTCAGTTTCTCATGCCTGCTTTGCAAGCATGAGAAACTGACAGATCACTCCCTTGGTTCAGAGCTCTGTGTTTACCTACAGGGGATGCTTTCAGGATGGAGAGCAGGGGAAGGGGCCAGTAAATATGTAATTTACCGGCCCCTTCCTTTTCTAAATGGACACAGTAAGTGACCAATACTTCTGTGGTCATTCATAACTGAGGCATAGTAAACTGTGCTTACTATGCTTCAATTTGTAAATGAATGGGAAGCTCTGTACAGGGCTATTCCTGTCCATTAATTCTGTGCAGCTGAGGCTCCAGAGAAGGAGATTGAGGGCTGTGTCCAAAGTCTCCTTTCTCTGTCTCAAAGGTGAGACATCAAAGGTCTGTTCAAACTCCTGATATCTCTCCTAAGCCCCCCAATGGGGCTCCTATAAAAAATGTAAAAGATATAAAAAAAAGTAAAATTGTTGGAAAAAAATATTAAGTGCACTGCTCATCTGGTACTGTCCACTGCCCTATTGACTCCGTCCACTGCCCTACTTACAAAGTCCACCTTCTTACTGAACATGTGCACTGCCCTACTGACAAAGTCCACCTCCATACTGAACATGTCCACCTCCCTACTGAACATGTCCACCTCCCTACTGAACATGTCCACCTCCCTACTGAACATGTCCACCTCCCTACTGACAAAGTCCACCTCCCTACTGAACATGTCCACCTCCCTACTGACAAAGTCCACCGCCCTACTGACTGATATCATTCACAGTCCTACTGTCACCAGTGGGTGAACTACTGGGGTTGTAAAGGTCGCACTTGCGATTGGTCCCTGACTTCTGCCACTGTGACAGGGCTGTAAGACCACAGGAAGGAGGCCTGCTGCAGAACATGTGAGAGGTTCCCACTGCAGGACCATAATAAGGGCCCCACAATCTGAGTAATGGGCCCTGTGATCAGTGGCAAGGGCCTGTGGCTTAGAGCCCCAGCTAGGGTTCAGTGGGGCCCTTCCTGATTTCTTGCACCAGAGCCCTGAAGGTTCTAGCTATGTCTCTGGAGTCACCAAACCCAGAGCAAATGTAAAAAAAACTATTTTCTCTGCTCAGAACCAACATTTTGGAGCCCCTAGAAGTGTATCTGAGAACCTTGTGTGATCTTTAACCCTACTAACCCATTAGCAGGGTACAGCACTTTCATACAAGGTAAGGTGTGATTCCACCTGTCAGCCTTCACTCATAGTTAAAGTTTCAGTTTAGAGATAGAGTTGACCTTTAACCATCACCATGATGTCCTTTTGAAAAATCTGTTAGAATCTCTGCCTAGATGGCAACATCAGCTAAGTAAGACAACTGAGTCTGTAAAATCTTGTGAACATCTCGGCATAAAATTCTATCAGATACATAAAAGAAGTCACAGACTATAAATAAATAAACCCCTTGAATTTTCTTGCATGTGTCTCAATATTTTATAGCAATAAATTATGGGAGTGAAAATTCCAAGGCATCTGTTTTCATCTTCAGTGCTGATCTCTTGACAACGGAAGGAAATTATTTTTTTTATAAATATACATTAAAATGTTAAATGAAATTATCTTCACTTAACTCCCCGCGGAGAGAGACAACGACTTATGGTGGAAATGGCTCTCACTCTGCTTGGTTATTGAATTTGTAGGATCTTCTGTCTCTCCCGCTTTCCATCACAGAATCTTTGAAAGAAGACTCTAAGCCAAAAGTGATTGCCATGACTATATTTAAATAAAACATTTCCTTCACAGATGAACTTGTAAATGATATTTCACCAGTTTATGGTGAAGTATTGCTGTCAAATCCCCATTACTGGGTAAAACGACTGGTTTTTTTGTTTATCGTTAGCTTGAGATATTAAAAAAAATCAAATCAATAAATGTCCACTATAAAGAGAGGACGTTTGTCTCATTTCTGGCTTGTTAATAAATGGTTGGAAGGGAGGATGGAAAGTTTTTTTTTTTTTTTTTTTTCCTCCTTATACTGTGTATTGCTAGAGTTTTTTTTTTTTTCTTGGGAGGGTGCATCTGATCAGCACAGGGTCAGCCAGCGCTGTTTTAGACAGAAGGTCAGGGGTCTGCAGCCTCATAGGACAATAAGGGGAGAATGAAAACTCCTCCTACAAGCTTTAGCCAGCGCTCTGCTGAACACTGATAGAAGTCACAAGACTGCTATATACGGATGATAGGAAAAGGTATTTAGCAGTTTTTTTTTTTTTTTTTTTTTCCTTATACTGAAAAATGCTGCAGTGCTTTTTAACCTCCTCAATACCAACATGTTGCACCCCCTTCCTTTCCTGGCCATTTTCAGTTGTTTGATAATTGTCATACAATAGTATAGTAAAATTAATTTTTAATCATTTTTTAAAACCGATCAAATTTTCTTTTAGTTGAACTTAAAGTGTTACTAAACCCACACCAGTAAAATCAGTCTGTAGGTGCAGTAAAGCATGCTTGTTATACTCACTGTGGAACCTAAAGGGTTAATCCTCTGCATTGTGTAAAAAGGCTGTTTGATCCTGTCTTCTCGGATCCTCCCCTACTTCTGCTGTCCCCAATCTATCTGTTGATAGAACAGAACCTTGGAGGAAAGCTGCACATGCTCACTTTGGTGTGTATTGCTAGAGTTTTTTTTTTTTTCTTGGGAGGGTGCATCTGATCAGCACAGGGTCAGCCAGCGCTGTTTAGACAGAAGGTCAGGGGTCTGCAGCCTCATAGGACAATAAGGGGAGAATGAAAACTCCTCCTACAAGCTTTAGCCAGCGCTCTGCTGAACACTGATAGAAGTCACAAGACTGCTATATACGGATGATAGGAAAAGGTATTTAGCAGTTTATTTTTACTAAAATAATTGCATTTCCATGTTCTGTGTACTGTGGGAGACCAGATATAGTGAATGCAGGGTCCGAGGAGACCGGATATAATGAATGCAGGCTCTGGGGAGACCAGATATAGTGAATGCAGGGTCCGGGGAGACCAGATATAGTGAATGCAGGGTCCTGGGAGACCAGATATAGTGAATGCAGGGTCCTGGGAGACCAGATATAGTGAATGCAGGGTCCTGGGAGACCAGATATAGTGAATGCAGGGTCTGGGGAGACCGGATATAGTGAATGCAGGGTCCGGGGAGACCGGATATAGTGAATGCAGGGTCCGGGGAGACCGGATATAGTGAATGCAGGGTCCGGGGAGACCAGATATAGTGAATGCAGGGTCCTGGGAGACCAGATATAGTGAATGCAGGGTCCGGGGAGATCGGATATAGTGAATGCAGGGTCCGGGGAGACCGGATATAGTGAATGCGGGGTTTGGGGAGAGCAGATATAGTGAATGCAGGGTCCGGGGAGACCAGATATAGTGAATGCAGGGTTCGGGGAGACCGGATACAGTGAATGCAGTGTTCGGTGAGACCAGATATAGTGAATGCAGAGTCCGGGGAGACCGGATATAGTGAATGCAGGGTCCGGGGAGACCGGATATAGTGAATGCAGGGCACGGGGAGACTGGATATAGTGTATGCAGGGCCCGGGGAGACCAGATATAGTGAATGCAGGGTCCGGGGAGACCAGATATAGTGAATACAGGGTCCAGGGAGATCAGATATAGTGAATGCAGGGTCCTGGGTTTAGTAACACGTTAAAAAAAAAAAACACTGGATTTCTTTTCATTTTTTCACTATGTGAAGAAAAAAAATGAAAAAAAAGTTTGTTACTTTCTGTGACATATGACAAATAGTCTTTCCTCATAAATTCAAACCAAAATGTATTCTATAGAGGGATATCATACTCATGCGCATGAACAGGAGGTGAGCTCCTCTTGATATCTGCAGACATCCCTGAGTCAAGAATTTAAAGGATAACTGCACTTTTGTGGGGAAAATAATAATATAGCATATACAATTGCTACACAAGTAAAAAAAATAGGGTGTTGTCAATAATGGGGCAAAGTAAATTAAAGACTGCTAATGAACTAGTATAGGTGTGGATCAGCGTACCAAAGTAAGGCCCTAAATAAGACAGGTAGGGGATAGTCCCCCTCCCCAAAAAGTAGGTACTATGTGTGACCCAAGTAGTGTCGCAAATATCCCAAAAAATTTGGCTCTACTTGCAGCATCAATAGGTAATAAAACTATGTTATTGGGGGATTTAGAAAAACAAAGACTTTGGAGTTAAAGTGGTAAAAAAAAATAAAGTTTTCCCCTGCAAGACAAAGGCATAATGTGCTAGTATGCATCACATACCCTTTTCCCTCAAGAGTTGGTTCTGGCCAGCTCAGTGGATTGCTTTAAAAAAGTCCTGGATTGTTTCTTGGATACACAGAATATAACTGGATATAACATTTATAGGTAAAGTTGATCCAGGGAATATCCGATTGCCTCTCGGGGGATCAGAAAGGAATTGTTTCCCCTGCAGAAGCAAATTGGATCATGCTTTGCTGTTTTTGTTTGCCTTCCTCTGGATCAACTGTGGGTATAGGATTATAACTTTTTTTTTTTCTTTTTTTAATGATTGAACTGGATGGACTTTTGTCTTTTTTCAGCCAGACTATCTATGTAAAAACTATGTAAACATTATGTAAAACTTACCTTGAAACAAAGCCTTCCAGCTGCATGCTGTCACCGCTGACAGGGCTTCCATCTTTACTAGGTCCTTCTTCTGGGTTCATGGACTCCAGAGGCTTGAATGGATGAGCTGTGATGTCACTTTTTACGGCACACAGCTCTGAAGGAATGGCACAGGCATGCCGGTCCTTCAGAGCGAATGCACCAGTGCTCTACACCGGTAAATATCTCCTAAATGGTGCATGTTTAGGAGATATTTACAGTACCTACAAGTAAGCCGTAATAAAGGCTTACCTATAGTTACAAGTTAAAAAACAGTTTACTACCACTTTAACCCCAGTGACAAATTGTGGGGCCCCCCTGGCAAGGCATCTTGTCCCCATGTTGAAGGGGACAAGGGTCTCATCCTCACAACTAGGGGCGGACTGACAACTCATGGGGCCCCCGGGCAATAGGGGATCATAGGGCCCCTGTGTCCTTGCCCAAACTCAAAAAAGCCTAAGAAAAAAGGTACCAGGGGCATCTCATGGGGCCCCCTACTGACCCCGGCCCTCGGCAGTGCCCGAGTTTCCAAATGGTCAGTTCGCCCCTGCTCACAACCTTACCCCAGTGGATGTGGGAGTCTGAAGGGGAACTTTCGGAATCTGGAGACCCTTTTTAATATAAAGGGGCCCCCCCAGATATCCTCTTGTCCAACATATGAATGAGTAGGGGAGACATTGTACCCCTTGCTACTCGTGCACAAAAAGAAAATGATAAAGTAAAGAACACTCACAAACCAAAGAGAGAAATTAAAGAAACATGCCCCATGATGTAAATCCAATGTCATAACACCATCCAATGAATGAGATCCACCATCAATCACTATGAATGATGCCCCAATGACACAAGCATGATGACCCATGCCATGGATCCTCTTTTGCGGGACTCATGCTTTAAATCATTTTCCACGCCGTCAGCGGAATATCATCAAACCAGCGAGCACACAACACGAATACTATATGGTCATGACCATTTGTTGTCTAATAATGTCACTGGGATGCTTGCTGACCTCTCTACAGTTTGAAACAAGCTGGCTGGCAGGCGGCTGAAGCTTCATTTAGTGGTGGCAATAATACGACCACTGAATGACTTGCGGATGCAACAGCCAGAGGTATAGGCAACCGGAAAAGCTAGCCAATTTAGCCATTTAGCAAACTGTGAAGAGCTCTGGTTTGGATCTAAATCATGGTTGACCCAAACCCAAAGCTCATCCCTATCTACATTATTATTATTATACAGTATTAATAAAGCGCCAATGGTTCGCTCAGCACTGTATGTGTTTGATTTTGAATCGTTTATTTTGGTGATAAATAGGCATTTCATTTATAGCTGAATTTTATTTATTTTTGCTTTGTAGAAATATTCATGGGAAGAGAGTAAAAATTGGAAAATAAAATCAATATTTTGCAATTTACCACTAAAGACAACTTTTACAAACTAGATGAGCCACTATGCATTCAGCTATTTATTCTCTTTAAAGAAATGCTAAATATTTGTAGCTGATATCATTTTAACCCACTGAAGTACAACTTAAGGCTCAACGCCAGCAAAACTGCTAGATACACAGTTGAAATACAGATATGGAAATTGTTTTTACCTGCCTAAGTATTCTGAATTCTGTTCAGCTTTTCTTGTGATCCAGGCAATCTTGTCAGACTATGTAGCTGAGTCTTTGACCTCCACTGCAGCAGATACACAACTTGGTCAAGAAGACACCGCAAACCTGGCGATAGCATAGTGAAGGAGCAACAACAAAATTATAAGTCATCACTCTGATCCCTGAGCTCTCTGTTGTCAGCATGTTCACTGTCAACAATTTTACACAGCATGGACTGAATCCGGCCATAGATGGTGTGATTTTCTTCTCTGCAACCACGGGTTGCAGGAAAGGAAATCACTTGATTCCCGCATGAACACAGTGTTCATGGGGGAATCCCTCCATTGGAGCCATTGTGTTCTCCCACTGGGGGGCGTGGGGTGCTGTCCCCACCGGGAGAGCAGAAGGAATACTGCTAGTGGCTATTATAGGCGCTAGCTATAATTGCATGTAAAATCTGACACTCTGGTTGTACTCAAGTTGATCTATCCATCAACTTGGGCATGCTCAGCCTTCCCATACATGCTGCATATCTTGGCCGGTCCCCTCCTGAACTGGCCAAGATTCTAACCGCCTAAGACCAGGTTTAACAGTGTTCTGTCCTATCTTTTTTTCAGTCTTTCTTCAGCACAAGTTTAAGCAGGACAGCTGATTGCCCTAAGTTTTGCCCCTGCTTATCCCAGTGGAGCTGTGCAATGGATGACAGGAGAATGATTGTAGTACAAATTCAGTACAAAGTTGAGAAAAAAAAAAAAACCTTTCATTTGTAAATAACCTTGCAGTGCTTTGTACCACAAATTATAGAGTAAAATATTTTACTTTTTATCTATCATAACACTTTATTTTTAACTAACACTGGTCAAGAAAAGGAAAAAAGCAAGGCAGTTTTGTTACCTTTTTGTCTGAGGATTGTCTAGGAAATTTTTGTTTTTGCAAGACAGTATCACAAAGAGAGAACCTTGTTTGTCCTTCAACAATATACTGTGTGTGTGTGTGTGTGTGTATGTATGTATGTATGTATGTATGTATATGTGTGTGTGCATATACATATATATATATATACACATACACACAGTGGCGTCCCTAGGGTTGATGTCTCTAATGCGCGAATACTTGGTGACACCCCCCCTCTCTCTGCCCTCTTTCCTCTTTCTCCCCTCTCTCTCTCTCTCCCCTACCTACTACATGAATCTGCAGTGCTGTCACCAGGGTTGGGGGATTACACACTGACCTGCTGCATACTCTGCCCCCCCACTCCAGATCTCTGACTTCAGCACAGTAGCAGGGATGTGGACCCACCCCTCTGCTGAAACTCCGAGGAGGAGAGGTGTCCAAAGTGCCTGCCTCACTGACCGTCCCCTCATTGCTTGCTTATTTCAGCAGCAGCACATACAGGGACGGAATGAGCCTCTCATGGGGCCCTATAGTGACCCCGGGCCCTCGGTCAGTCCGTCCTTGGTGGAGCGGGTCCGTTGTCACCCCTGTGCAAAAGGTATCACCCGGTGCGGTGCGTACCCCCCGCACCTGCCTAGGAACACCAGTGTATGTGTGTATATATATGTGTATGTATGTGTGTATATATATATATATATATATATATATATATATACACACACACACACACACACACACACACACACACACACACACAGTTGTGTTCAAAATAATAGCAGTGTGTTGAAAAAAAGTGAACAAAGCTCAAAATCCTTCTAATAGCTTTTATTTCCATACACACAGATGCATTGGGAACACGACACATTCTATTCCAAATCAAAACATGAAGAAAAATAGATCAAATTTGTGTTGTTCCTCTAAAAAAAAAAGTGAAGAAAAGTGAATATTAGACAGTTCAAAAAATAGCAGTCTTTGTATTCTTCTTTACAAACTCAAACATTCACTATATAAACTGAAAAATGTTTGAAGATTTTGCTTTCCTTTGAATCACTTAATGAATATTTGGTTGTAGTCGCACTGTTTCTGAGAACTGCTGTACATCTGTGTTGCATGGAGTCACCCAACTTCTGGCACCTGTGATCAGGTATTCCAGCCAGGATGATTGGACTACATTCCACAGTTCTTCTCTATTTCTTGGTTTTGCCTCAGAAACTGCATTTTTGATGTCACCCCACAAGTTTTCTATTGGATTAAGATCCAGGGATTGGGCTGGCCACTCCATAACGTCAATCTTGTTGGTCTGGAACCAAGATGTTGCACGTTTACTGGTGTGTTTGGGGTCGTTGTCTTGTTGGAACACCCATT